GACACAAGACTCCATTAAGCACATGGTTGCAAAAAGACACAAAACACTTTAAAATACATAAAGTCACATTTATTACATAAAACACAGACATGTAACATATCCCCAGATAGCTCAGGTCCGAGCGCACATTATTAAGCGAATGGCGCTCAGACCACATGAATACAGTTTAATCGCCATGGAGCCAAAGTCTTTACAGTCAGTTTCATACAAATGGGCTCCATAGGATTCCTATCTGGGGTATAACACATTCAAACACATCTACCGAACCCCAGGCAGAAAAGCACGAATACAGCTTTTCTGCAGGCAAAAATAAAGTCTTTTAAAAGGGGGCCATAGTCCAAAGGCAGCAGGCGAGCAACCAGGCTTCTCCAATGCAATGTGGCGAGATTGGTCTCGTCACAGCATCTAAAGCGGATTGCTATGGTGTGCCAATTGTATGTCTCCAAAGCTTATTGCCATGGTGTTCACTTTTTAAAATATGCATTAAAAGCAAGTGGGTCTCGAAAAATTACCGTTTTGAAAAGTGGGTCTCGGCCCATAAAAGTTTGGGAAGCCCTGGCCTAAGTACTAATATACTTACTCAGTGGGAGAAGAATAATGTTACATTGTATACAATTTTAAATAAAAAGGATACAAACATAGCCAGGATTCAGCTGTAAGCATTTGCAACACATACAACAATCAAGTAACACATATTCATATAAAATGTAAATTACTTAGCCTGTCAATGTAATGACAGGAATGGATAAGTAGATAACTCCCTAATTCCCACGGTATTAGGGAGCTATCTACTGAAAGGCTGAAAGTCTTTCAGCCAAATTTACTAATACTAAGTAAATATTACTTAGTATTAGTAAATTATGCCCCTACTCGCTATACCGCGAGTAGGGGCATGTCCATTAAACAGTGAGCAGCCTGTGGCTACTCACTGTTAAAAAAAAAAGCTTTCCCCCCTCCTGAGCCCCCACCCATGAACGGCGGGTGGGGACCCTAAAGTAAAATAAGGGGGGGGACCTAATGTCCTCCCCCTGGCCCCACTTGTGAGTGGTTGATAGGGGCCCTAAATAAAAATTGGGAGGAAGGGGTGGACCTAATGTCCTCCACCCTGGCCCCCACCCCTGAGCGGCAGGTGGGGGCCCTAAATAAAAGTCAAACCCCTAGTCCCCTGGATTTTTTAGGGCTGGAAAAAGATTTTAGAAGAAAGAAAACCTCAAATGGTAAGTTTTATTTTATTTTTACAGGTACTTAGTTAAAGGTCCCACCTCATTATTTTTAGTGTGAGGGGGGTAAAAAGGGGTTAATTTTTTTAGGGGGGGTGACTATGGGTTTGGGGACCCCTAGTCACCTTGGCGGGGGGGTTAAATTTTTATTTAGGGCCCTCACCCACCGCTCAGGGGTGGGAGCCAGATGGGAGGACATTAGGCCCCTCCCTCTTATTCTAATTTAGGGCCCCCACCGACCGCTCAAGGGTGGGGGCCAGGGAGGGAGGACATTAGGCCCCCACAATTTTTATTTAGGGCCCCCACCCACTGCTCAGGGGTGGGGGCCAGGGGGGAGGACTTTAGGTTCCCCCCCCAATTGTTATTTAGGGCCCCCACCCACCGCTCAGGGGTGAGGGCCTGGGGGGAGGACATTAGGTTCCCCCAAAAATTTTTTATTTAGGGCCCCCACCCACTGCTCAGGGGTGGGGGCCAGGGGGGAGGACATAAGGTCCCCCCCTTATTCTAATTTAGGGCCCCCACCCACGGCTCAGGGGTGGGGGCCAGGGGGGAGGACAATAGGTTCCCCCCACCTTATTCTAATTTATGGCCCCCACCCACCGCTCAGGGGTGGGGGCCGGAGGGGAGGACAGTAGGCTCCCCCCTCATTGTTATGTAGGCCCACACCCACCGCGCAGGAGTGGGTGCAGGGGGGGGAGGACAGTAGTGTGCGTCTGTGAGTGAGTGTATGTGTGTGCGTCTGTGAGTGTCTGTGCGTATGTGAGTGAGTGTATGTGTCAGTGTCTGAGTATATGTGTATGTGTGTCTGTGAGTGTATGTGTGTGTCTGTGCATGCGTTTATATATTCATACAAGTGTATATTTTGGGGGGGGGTGGATCTTGGGTGAGTTCCCACACTTTTTTCCCCAGGACTTGACCCCTGGGTAGGGGAACAGAAACTCCTCTACCACGGTCTGCCTGCTCGGCTACACTACAGCAAGGTATTTACAACCAATACAAGGACACTAGGAACTGGGGGATAGGGGCTATAAAAGGGACAGCACATGGGGCTGAGGGAGGGGCTATAATTACAAGGACCCGCTGTAGAGGTCTAGGGGGGGCTATAATGGGACACATTGAGGCTGGGGAGGGGACTATAATGGGACACATGGTGGCTGGGGAGGGGGCTATAATGGGCCACATGAGGGCTGGGGGGCTATAGGGACACATGGGGGCTGGGGAAGGGGCTATAATGGGACACATGGAGGCTATAATGGGACTCACGAGGGCTGGGGAGGGGTTATGCTGGGACATATGGGGGCTGGGGAGGGAGCTACAATGGGACACATGGCGGCTGTAGGGACACATGAGGACAATTTACCTCTTTCTCCAGCGCCGGGCGGGGGACTCTAGTCCTCCTCTCCTCCTCCTTCTCGTCGTCATTGGCTGAATGCGCATGCGCGGCAAGAGCCGCGCGCGCATTCAGCCAGTCCATAGGAAAGCATTCTCAATGCTTTCCTATGGACGCTGGCGTCTTCTTACTGTGAAAATCACAGTGAGAAGCGCGGAAGCGCCTCTAGCGGCTGTCAATGAGACAGCCACTAGAGGCCGGATTAACCCTATAATAAACATAGCAGTTTCTCTGAAACTATGTTTATAGAAAAAAGGGGTAAACCTAGCTGGACCTGGCACCCAGACCACTTCATTAAGCTGAAGTGGTCTGGGTGCCTATAGTGGTCCTTTAAGGTTTTTTTCCGCTTCCATATCTACGCACTATGCTGGCGCAATGCATTATGGGGCTGGTATAGAATTTATTTCCAGGGCTGCTTTTCATTCCCAGTCCGACCCTGCCCCCAGCCTCACCTTTCACACAGGAAGCGATAACCTGTATGGAGAAACCTCATGTTGCCTGAGAGTCTACAATGCCAATGGCAGGTACTTGTGTTCAGCTGCCAATAACCGATCGTGAATGTGTGTGAGCTTGAACGTAGTGAGCTTGTGGGTATGTGTGTGTGTGTGTGTCAGTGAACTTGAATGTAGTGAGCTTGTGGGTGTGTGGATGCAGGGAGCTTGCATGTAGTGAGCTTGTGGGTATGTGTGTGTGTGTGTGTGTCAGTGTGCTTGAATGTAGTGAGCTTGTAGGTGTGTGGGTGTCATTGAGCTTGAATGTAGTGAGCTTGTGGGTGTGTGTGTGTATGTGTCAGTGTGCTTGAATGTAGTGAGCTTGTGGGTGTATGTGTGTGTGTGTCAGTGAGCTTTAATGTAGTGAACTTTCAGTGAGTTTGTCTGCAGTATATTTTCTATGTGTGTTAGAGAGCTTGTCTCCAGTACATTTGTCTGTGTGTGCCAGTGAGTTTGTGTGTTTTATTCATGCAGAACACATCTGCATATATACACATACATATATACATTAATATAATATATCCTAATGTCTGCATGAGCATGGAGGATAGCCCTGCTTAGGGAAGTATCCCCAAGCAGAGTTAATAATTTCAGACAGGAGGCAGCTTGGATGGTAGGTGTTACAGCAGTGTAGCACTTATTGATTGTCTGCAGTGTGGGCCTGGAGGCAAGTAACCCATAAATATATGACATATCACTATGACAAATCATATAGTTAGTGCCTCAGCAAAATAACACTGCTGAGTTCTCTCAATTTTCCAACTGCTCCAATATTATCTACAGATATGCAGACTCTTTACTTACACCTCAGTTCTACTTTTGATAAAAAGACGACAGACCGGTTACCACCTCGTAGACCCTACGATTGTTCCATTGATCTCCTTCCAGGCACAATACCTCCTAAAGGCAGGGTTTATCCCTTATCTCCCCAGGAGAATGCTATTATGGAGGAATATATTAAGGAGTCATTGGAGAAAGAGTTTATAAGAAGATCTTCCTCTCCCGCCGGTGCTGGGTTCTTCTTTGTGTCCAAGAAAGAGTGAGCTCAGCGGCTCTGTATAGATTATAGAAGACTTAACAAGATCACAATAATGAATGCTTACCCAATCCTTTTAATCACAGAGTTGTTTGATAGATTAAAAGGGGACTCGGTGTTTACCAAGTTAGACCTCAGGGAAATGCATTCGATACCAAAAGGGGACATTATCAGTCTGCTGTTATGCCTTTTGGCCTCTGTAACGCTCCTACAGTCTTCCAAGATTTTATAAACGACTTCCTCAGAGAATACATTCATTCCTTTGTGATAGTGATATTCTGATCTACGTACACATCACTGTCATGCCCCTAAGGTGTTACTAACACTTCTTTATCATGGTTTGTACTGCAAACTCGAAAAGTTCGATCAATCAGACGTAAACTTCGTGGGCTACGTGATATCTGCTTCAGGATTCAGTACGGACCCAAACAAGTTGTGGGCTGTAGTAGAGTGCCCTTTACCTCAAGGTGTGAAAACTATACAAAGCTTACAGAAGATTCATTAAGAATTTCTCTTCTGACCCTCACCAAAAACTATGCAAATCCCTGTATATGGTCCCCTGAAGCTATTGAAGCATTTGAAAGGCTGAAACAGCATTTAGTTTCTGCTCCTCTACTCAGACATCCAGATCCTATTATCATGTTTATTGGATGTGGATGCTTCTGAGATAGGAGTAGGTCCAGTCCTATAACAGCGTAAGTTCCCTGAATAACCAATTCACCCATGTGAATATCTCATATCAATATCTCGTTTTTATTCTGATTTTCCATAATACGTGTATAGAACAGCGATAGAACACTTTGTGTGGTCGATAAAGAAAAAAAAAAAAGTACCAAGGATAAATTGCCGTAGACATTATACAGGACAGTCAAATACATTTCCACATACTTTTTTCCCCATCAAATTATACAGTAATTCTAAAGCATAACATAAGCCTAAACACAAAGTAGCAATGCAGTTTGGTTCCCTTAGTTCCCATTTGGTATGGATTGTACACACGAGTACACACTATTAGAGAAAACATAGTAGTACGTAAGTGAAATGAAAAAAACAAGAAGGAGAGAAAGTTAAGTAAAGTATAGAATATGATATGGCCGATGTGTTATTTTAGAATTTATCAACTCCAAGAGACCAACATGATGTTCATCACTTGACCTGTTAGCACCTGAAGGTCAGTTAGTGGGCCATTGGTCCAATTTGGGGCGTAGGAACACACACATATTTCTCCTTGATCTTCTGCCATCCCCACCAATGTTTGTCATAATCCCTGTCTCTTCCCTTCAGCCTATATGCCATTTTTTCATATTAAGAAGACCCTGTCAAGCACTTCTCGGACGCTAGGAGAACACGTCCTCTTCCAGTTAAAGGCCACACTTAAAGAATATTGATTTTTACTGTTCTATCTGGTAATTCCTTCATATCACGAAATATGTGTAATGGATAGATTTCTGGTTTCAAAGGCAAGTTGTTATTATTATTATTATTACTGGTATTTATATAGCGCCATCATATTCTGTAGCGCTTTACAAAATTATCAAAGTTGAGGCTAAATTTTGTGGATATCATCTCTCTTAATTGCTTGGGCAGGACCAGAACACATACTCAATAGAGCCTTGTAACGGAGCTTCCTGTACCCCGATTGGGTACCTCCGCCGACGAATGCTCCTAGTGCTCACCGAGGACTCCAAGCACTCCACCAGACACCATCAGCACTGCAGTTCCCACGTCCAGCGTTACAGCTTGGCTAGGAATTCACAGTCCTCCACCCACCCTTGACCCAAGACCAGTATGTGAACCTCTTCTACTCCAGAGAGCATAGCACAAAACAGCTCTTAAAAGAGCTAATGATTAGAACCCAGGGGAGTATGAAGAGTATAGCAATCCCAAGTGTGAATATAGCAGTTCCCCTCCAATCACGAGACAAGGCTACCTGTTGAGGGTTAAACAGGAACTCAATTTTAATGGAGGCACACTGGCCTTTTATGCAAGTTTCCCAACAAAGGTGACACCCAGGTGGACCTTGTTGGGCACAGGGACACAAAGTTAACAAACCAATAAAAACAGAGTTATACAATGAGACACACCCCATACACAAACAATAGAATCCATCCTCTGTGCTTGGGAGATTATTCAATCAGGAACTGTACTAATCTAATCCAATTATCTCCAAGCACAGAAAAACATACAATTTTATGAAACCCCAAAAAGTACCTTAAAAACACATAAAATCCCATACATTCCCTGATAGCCCCGATCTGGGTGAAAAACATATCTAAAAATCCCCTAGATCAGTTCAGGGGTTCCTGGAAGTCGTAGTTTTGACCGACCGTGCACATGGTCCTATGCCCAAAACAATTCCAGGGAAATCAGTGCTAACAGTCGGTCAAGTTCAGTAGTCTTTTACAGGTGTCCCTGCAGGGCCCATAGTCTGTGGGCAGGAGGCTGGCAAGCAGGCCCCTCCAAGTACAAGTGGCGAGGTTACTTTTGCCACAGAGAGGAATTTAGCAGAGGGTTTAGAGATGTGTCTTGCAGGGGTTTGTAGATGAATATAGAAGGAGGTTTAGAGAGGAGTTTAGCAGGGGTTGTGGATATGAATCTAGCTGCGGGTTGATAAAGGATATGGACTTAGAGAAGAGTTTAGCAGAAAGGTATTTATATTGTGGGAGGTCTGAGGAGAAAAGCCCTACCCTGTGTCCTGCACTGGTAACACCATTCCTGCCTTTAATGGAAGGTTTAATTTTGGTTATTCGTTTAGCAAAGCTCTGGTTACATAGAAACATAGAATGTGACGGCAAATAAGAACCATTCGGCCCATCTAGTCTGTCCAATTATCTAAATACTTTCATTACTCCCTGGCCTTATCTTATAGTTAGGATAGCCTTATGCCTATCCCACGCATGCTTAAACTCTTTTACTGTGTTAACCTCTACCACTTCAGCTGGAAGGCTATTCCATGCATCCACTACCCTCTCAGTAAAGTAATACTTCCTGATATTATTTTTAAACCTTTGTCCCTCTAATTTAAGACTATGTCCTCTTGTTGTGGTAGTTTTTCTTCTTTTAACCCCTTAAGGACTGAGCCAAATGTACACGTTGTGAACGAAACAAAATGTAAACAAAACCTGGCATGTCTGTCCAACCGTAATTCACCTCTTTCATAGTAAATGCACCCACCCTTATTATATATCATTTTATTCAGGGGAAACAGGACTTTCATTTAATATCAAATATTTAGCTATGAAACATAATTTAATATGAAAAAAATGGGAGAAAATAAGAATTGTAAAAATTTTTTTAGTTCTACATGACATTTTAACTGTCAATGTCATAATACTGTTTGCTTTTACTGCAATAAAATATACATATTTGTATTCAGCAAAGTCTCACGTGTAAAACAGTACCCCCTATGTACAGGTTTTATGGCGTTTTGGGAAGTTACAGGGTCAAATATAGCACATTACATTTGAAATTGAAATTCGCCAGATTGGTTACA